GGACAAGCAGACTCTGTGCTGAGCCCAGAGCCTGACACGGGGGCTCAATCTCAGGACCCTGAGATCATGACCTGAGCCTGAACCAAGAGTTGGACGCTCAACTGACTGAGCCACCCAGGCACCCCAGAATTTGTTGTTTTTAATTTAAATTGTTCTTTAAGTTAAACTTCATGATAATCCCTCCTTTGAAAATTACTAAGTCCCTTATAATCACAATCCTTGGCACTGTGCTCATCTGTAGAGATAAAAAGGGTCAAGGACAATACTGCTTTCCAATCACCACAGGCTATTATAATTTATGATATTCAGGAACATTCTATGCCATGGTACTCTAATGTTAGTCACTCTATCTCGAGGATTAACTCACCCTCCCCTCCAAAGAAACCAAAACAGAACGAAACAAAATTCAATAGAAAAGCAGCATAGAAAAGGAAAATGTTTACATTTTTATAAATTTCACAATTTAATTACAAAGCCCCACACTGGAGATCATTGCTACTCAAAGTAGCCATTTGCCTCCCTCAGGAATATGTGGGTTATGAGTCCTTGTGAGATGAGGAACTTGTAAAGCACTGCTTCCCGTACCCAGAATATCTTGCTTAAAAAAAAAAAAAGTCAGCTAAACTACAAAGTGTGCTTAGTGCCTTATTTGATTTTTTTCTGGCTCAAGTTCTGTATCTCATGGTGCGTGAGTAACTAACAGTTCAAGGGCTGGCATTAGTGCAGGGACCATACTTTGAATAGCACTTCATCTAGATCATGGCCATGATGATGTGAACGGTGATATCCTAAGCAGTATTGTGCTAGGAAATTAATCCAGACCTCAGCTTCTTAGAAAAATAATAAAAGGAATGAAAGCACATGAGCACAAAAGAAGCAATTTTTTTTTCTTTTCATTCATTCTGGAACTGACTTAAAACATTTATCATGTATTTAAGTTATTCCTTCTTTCCCTATGGTCTCTCTCAATATTAACTTTCCACTATTAAAAAAAAAATCAAAAAATACCAAAACAAAAATTAAATAAGCAATCATAAAAGGAAAACATTTTTTTCATAGAATTGGGTAGCTAGAAGTCCTTAAAAACCAGGAAACTGAAGTCTCTAAAAGTTAAGTAAATTAAATTTTGAAGGTCATTGTTTATACGCCTTCTGGAAAAGGATAGCAGAAGGAGATAGCTGGTGACTGAAACCACAAATCAGGAGCTCAGGATCCTTTTCTGGCTCCAAATCCACTTTATACTCAGAGCTGAGCTGGGTGGCCAACAAGAAGAAATTAGATGAAAGACATGTTATTTGGTTTCTTTTGTTTTCCAGAGGTTAATTCATCATATGAATCAAAATATGTGCCACACAGGGTCCAAATCTGAGACCAAAACTGATAAGGTTAATAAAGAGACAGGGGACAGAAGGAGAGATCTCAGAAACTGATTCCAGTGAAACAGACCAACTTTGTTGACAAGTAGTCCTTTTGAAGGTCTGAGAACCTGTCAGTATTCCTCTGTCACTCTAAAAGTCACAGTGCCCTTAATCATGCACTTGATTGATGGAAATTGAGGTCAACAAGTTCACCAAGGACCTTCTCTTGAGGAATAGTTAGAATGACAGGTTGCCAAGGTATATGAAGGCCATCAAGGAGAGTATTAGTAAATACATATTTTTTGAACTGGGTTCCATTTACAAGGGTGTTTCCAAATTGAACACATGAATCATAAATTATATACTTATGACTGTGTACTTCTCTAAAAGAATGTTAAACATCAATAAAAAATGGTTTTTTTTTAAGGGAAGAAAATATCATGTGCCAAGCATATAAAAGATATTCTGGGTCATAGTGAGGAATGTCTACTACTTGTTGGATGAATTATTTGAGTGCTTCCCTTTTCATCCAAAAATGTATGGTACTGTAGGCTAACAATATTAATTACATTCTGATAATTTACCCCATGGGAGAAAATTAGACAAGTTTAAAAGGCACATGCACAAAGATGTGTTCTGTAGCTAAACATTGGAGCTACCAAGATGTCCATGAGTCAAGGATTGGTTAAATGGTAGAAGAGTCATGCAATGGAGGATTCTGATATAATAAAAAAGATGACATTTTCTAATATGGAAAGATGCTGGACATGTATGGCTAAGTCAAAAAGTAAGCTTCAGAATAGTGCATAGTATGATTCCATTTTTGTAAAACAACTACTATAGCACTGCTACTACTACTAGGCACACATATACAATTTTAGAGGCATGAAAAAGAAAACTAAACTAAACAAGGTTATGCACCAAGTTAACAGTTTTTGTTAGCAGGTGATGTGGGTAGGTTTGTTTACATCCTATTTTGTGCATGTATCTGAATTTTGATACAAAGAAAATACATTGTTTTATAATCAGAAAAAAAACCAATAAAGGTGTTTTCATTAGAAAAAATAGAAATAAGGGGGTGCCTGGGTGGCTCAGTCGTTAAGCAGCTGCCTTTGGGTCAGGTCATGATCCCAGGGTCCTGGGATCCAGCCCCACATTGGGCTCCCTGCTCAGCGGGAAGCCTGCTTCTCCCTCTCCCCCTCCTCCTGCTTGTGTTCCCTCTCTCGCTTGTCTCTCTCTCTGTCAAATAAATAATCTTAAAAAAAAAAAGAAAAAATAGAAATAAAATTTAATAAGAGCATATGTAGTGAAAATGCAACTGGTTTTTAAGCCCAGAATTCTTTCTCCTCCCCCTCTTCCTTCCCTCCCCCCATCCCCACTCCTCCTCCTCCTCCTCCTTTTTTTGTACTGCATATACTTAACAAAACCTTTGAAATGGTTCATATATACCTCCTGTTTCAAAGTTTAAGACTGTCTGGCTGAGGGGCACCTGGGTGGCTCAGATGGTTAAGCATCTGCCTTCAGCTCAGGTGATGATCCCAGCTAGGGTCCTGGGATTGAGCCCCTCATCGGACTCCCTGCTGGGCGGGAAGCCTGCTTCTCCCTCTACTGTTCCCACTGCTTGTGCTCTCTCTGTCAAATAAATAAACAAAAACTTAAAAAAAAAAAAAAAAAAAGACTCTGGCTGAGATAAAGAAAGTCAATCTGCCCAGTAGGGCTTAACTGCTCTTTGTATTATAGTTGCATTTTATGGGCTATTGTGAATGTTTTCTTTAAGAAAAGAGAAGAGTAGATCCAGCTGCTATAATCCTGGGCACAGGGAAATTGAAACTCAGTAAGAACCAAACCAGTTTAATTGACAATAGTTAATAGATTACCAGGCAGTTCTAATCAGTACCAGACTAATGTGTCAAATTAATCAGGAAAGCTGCTATTTTGGCTTTCCCTGAGGAGTGAATCTATGTGTTGAATGAATTGTCTTAATGTTTTAACTGTGGTGTAAGTCATCTTCCTGTCTTTCTGAATTTGAAACAGGTTCTTAAGCCATCTTATCCTTTTGTTTCCCATCAAAAATGGTATTCAGGTCTGTTACCATAAGTTACCCTGTTTAACAAGTATTAGAGGCTTACAACTTCCATACCCTCTCACTATTGTCTATAACAATATCAAACAATCAACAATATCAACATCAGTGGCATCAACAATCAAGCTCATAATGCAAATTATAAATCTGGATTGACTGATTTCCCATATAACTTAATAGATGAGAATTTAGAAGCTAGGAACTCAGGAAATATTAATGATAGTCTATCCTATTCCTGATATGAATTCAGAGCTTTGAAATACTGTCACTGTTTTGGCCGGGTTGTGCCATTTCATGCTTAGAGATACTATAACTTGTATAGGGCTACTTGGATATTCAGAATCTCCATTTTTTGTTATTGTTGTTGCCAAAAAAACTTAGACTAAACAGTGATTATTTCCTGGTTCCAAATGTGTACAGGAGCATGGATCCTATACATTAGGAACTCCTGAAGGAGGCATTCTGTGTCTTGAGCCTGAGCAACTCAGAACACTATATACCATGGACCCATCTGCCACAAATGAGAATCAGAACTGAAGGGGTCCCAGAACTTAGCTCATTCTCCTCCTACCGTGTGTCTGAAATGGTCAGTGAATGCACAGATAGACTTCCTTAGTTCTAAATCAAAGGCTGGTCCACATGTGCATGTATCATGGACTTCTGCACCTAAGCCTGTGGCTTGATTTCTCTAGGTACCTCTGTTAGCTAAAAGGAATCCCGCCAACTCATGCACTTAGTTTGAGCTTCTTCTTTATTAGGTTCCCTATTCCATTAACTAACTTAAAGGCTTTTTATTTTTTAGCTGTCATTAAGAATAATAATATATAATAATAAAAGTTAAGCCTGTGATGATTTATATTGACATAGTAATATGATAATACAATAAGCTCCACACATGTCTATTTGAAGAAAATGGCATTCTTCTGCAACACTACTTTTTGGCTTCTAGTTTCATTTAACAGATGTTTACTGAATGGCTCATGGGTGCCAAGAGCCAGACAAGCGGGACCTACCCACTGCCTGACGTCAGGGCCTTTTAGGAATGTATTTTTCCAGGTTCTTAAATTACTATTTAAAAAACCCAAATGAACAAAACACAAAAATTCAGTCATAATTTTACATTTTGCTTCTCCCTAATAACAAATTAAATACAAAATTATTTAAATAAAGTCTACAGCTTAAAAAAAAAACCTTAAAATACAAGTGCAGGGAGAAGAGCAAGCCTAGAGAAGAAGGAATATTAGCAAATGGGCTGAGACCAGATCTGAATAGAGGCCAAATCAGAGAGTTTTGCTTGTGATGGGTTACTCTTTCATTCTCAGAATAAGTGTATGACTCCACATTACTTAATGATTAGTATGATTAATCATTCTTACCAATCAACTGTCATCCTTCATCTGCCCTGATTAAAAAAAAAAAACTCTTAGGAAACCTGCAAATAAATCTTCTGATGGATTTGATGCCACGTGTCATCACACCATTATTTATCTCTTAATCATAGACCTCCAATAAAATCTGTTGAATTGAAATAACAGCAGGGAAAAGGGAATGGATCTTACCTTACATGAAGCTTCTTTAATGAGAACCATGAACCCGTGTCAAGCTCTTCAGAGCACTCTGCCTTATGTAAAGGAATCAAAAATAAATACATAAGCCAAATAATAAGCCAAAAAATAAATACATAAGCCAAATAATAAGCCAAATAATAAGCCTCAAAATCAAATCACAAAAATGTAATACCCCACCCATTTTCTGGAACTCCGTATTCTCAGAATACTTCAGAGGTTGGCAGATGGTTCTCCATCCCCATAATGCCCAGCATTTGAAGGACATGTCCTGTGGGAGTGGTGTCAGTGTAACTCAGTTACAAGGCAGACTCACTAATATACACTTCAAAAAGCAATGTGCATTAAGGGATCAACTAGGTGCTGATTATAAAGTGTGTGAGACCGTGGGGGGTAGGGGCAAGATGCCTCTAAGCGAAATGAAACATTTTAGTCACAAAATAGATTTAAGAATCTGTAGGAGATAGATTACAAATAAGCTAAAACACTCAGATTAGTTGCATACCATAAGCTAATTAAATACCTTTTTTTTTTTTTTAAAAGGAGGGTGCATTGGGCAGCAAGACTGCATTAAGAGGCAAACCTTTTTAGAAAGGAGTATCACTTATCTTTTTTCCTGTTGATCGGCTGCTGACAATGAATCTAGAAAAATCTAAAGCAAAAACCTCCCTAGGAGAACTATCTTGAGCGGTGGTCCCTCGGGTTGGCCCTGGGACGTAATCACCATCCATTCCGTGCCCTTTGCACTAGTACCGTGGACCCGACCAAATGCGTGACTTTGAGAATGTCCAGAGCCATCGGATCCTACTATCCACCACAAAGAACCACCTAAGTACTTCAACACTCTCGCAAAAAATTTTCCAAAGGAAATTTAACAGGCAGAGGAAATGAAGGTTAAGAAACAGACCCTGCCTCCGGAGTCTGACACCAAACCAGCCTGGGCGGCCCCAGGCATCCAGCGGCAGAAAGGGCGCAGGTACAGCCCGCCAACCTGGTCCTTAACCAGATGTTTCTGTGAGTGAAGGGATCCTTCTGCTACCCAGAGCGGGCCCCATCACACACCTCCCTCCTAAATCAGAACTCAATTTGCCCGTAATCCGCGCACCTCGACAGGGAAACACAGGATTCCAGTAGCTGGTGCGGTTTTCTAGTAGGTTTTTCGGGGACTCGGAAACCACCGCTGGGGAACGCAAGTGTTCAGCGCCAGGTAAAAACTTCCCTGGATTTGAAGTCACTAAGATGGGTGGAAAGACTCCTGCTATCACCATTAAGCTGCAAAGCAGGCAGTGTGCGCGTGGCGAGTGCCCAGATAGGCGCAAAACAGAAATGACCGCACATACCACAAAGGCAAAAGCAAACAGAATGCACCTAGAAACACGTTCTGCAAAGTGTAGAACTGTCTACACTTGCACGGAGAAATCAATCTTTGCAACAGCGGACGCGAGGGCAAATCCTCCCGGCTCTGTGTCCGGGACTGAAGCGGGTCATCCCGGGGCCACGGGCACTGCGTAGCCCAGCGAAGTCATCCCGACCATCTGGAAAGCCGACCTGCGGAGGTTGCTGGGGATCATAAAGGGAGCGGCCGGCCGCAAAGGGGATAGATTCTGGGGAGTCCAGAGAAGGAGCCAAACCTCTGGGAGCCGGGAGAGTCTGGGGCGGGGGGAGTGGAAGCTCTAGAACTCGAGGCCGCCCCAGGAGAGGAGTCTGGGCGCTCCACGCAGAGGACGAGCCCTCCTCCAGAGCTCGGCACCTCGCGCGTCCCCGGCTCCCCACTCCTCTGCCTCCGCTCGAGGGAGGCTTCGGGAGCCTCTCACTGACCTGCGGGTCCGGACGCGCGGACCTCCCCGGCCGCGCTTCGGCACCCCGGGTGGGGTTTGGGCCGCGCTGAGCTCCTCGTAGGCGCCCCTGTCTCGGCGATCCGCGCCCGTGAAGCCGTCCGCGGGAATGTCGGGCTCAGCGTGCGGCGCGGGGTCGGAGCGCACTGGCGGGCAGCGGGCGCAGCTGGGGTGTGAGCCCCGGGCCACGGAATCAGCGGGACCGTGGGTCTTCCCCCGCCCCTCTGGTCAGCACAACCAATGGCGTAGAGCCGGGCCCACTCCCCGCCGCCCCCCAGCCGCTGCTCTGGCTGGTGCTTGGCTCTAGGACAGCAGCCCCTCTCGGGCGAGGGAGGAGCTTGAGCCAGTGTTGGAAAATCTGGAGGACGAAGAGGCGTTCGCACAGAGAGCCCCATCTGGGGAAGGCAGGTGTGGTGCCGTTAACTTTTGTGGGGGAGGGGCATGGGGGTGCAGTTTCTTTGGGGACTCAGACCTCTCAGCAGGCGAAAGCATCTACTTTCTGCCAAGTTTCTTCCCCTCTTAAACATCTATTACGAGTCCCGCTCAGCCCCCACTCCAAACCTGGAGCTCCGGTCCATCACATCAAGTTCGGCTCTGAGCTGCATGAGGGCATCGCCCCATCCTCTGTTGAGCTTGGCCTCACACGTCTTTCCTTACAAGCTTTTCTCTTCTTTCCCCTCTGAATCCTCTGCCAAATCATCAGATGAAATGAATAGGATTGCAGTTCCATCACTGCCAGGGAAACAGGCAACCAAAGAAGTCCTTACTGGGTAACTGGCTTAGAGAGAGTCATAGACCTTAAAAGAACTCTGCGAAGGGAGCCTTTAACTGACAAAACTAACTTCGGTTACCAATCAGACCCGTGATCTTCACTTAAAGACTCTGGATTCCTGTTTCTCAACTGATCATTTGATGTCTTCGGTCTCTTCTACTCTGACATTCAACAATCCAATTGGCTCTCTGGCCTGTTTGCCTGGTGAAGGGCTGAGCCCCTGTGAAGTGTTGGTATGGCTCCTTTTCCTCTACCCCCTGCTCCCTCCTGTCTTGCTGCATTCACCCCGAGCCCGGTCCACCTGTGGCTAGGAAAATTAATCATGCAAATCAATATAGAAGAATGATGCCCAAGTCTTAGTGACCATTTAAACTTGTACAAATACTCCTACTTACCAGTGCCCATCTCCTGGGATTATGCTAGTTGTGCCCATGTTCAGTAGTTCTCCAGAGACTCTTAGGCCCCCTTGGTAAGTGAGCAAAGGCTCTCTCGCTCCCTCTTCCTCCTCCAGAGGAATTATGGGTTTGTGTTCATCTTTTCTATGTGAATCTTTTTGTATCATCTAAAATGCAGGGCGGTGGAATGAGCTGCAATGGAAAAACGGGGGGGGGGGCATTCAGAGACCTGCTTCTCTCCCAACACATTTCTGCTTGCATTCTAAATTTGACTCGTTCATATGTCACTTTCATGAGTTTTGTTACATCTGTCTATCCCTCTACTCAATCTTTTACCTTAGATTTTTACTTAGCCTCATTGTAAGTAGTAATATCCATGAAATCATTGGTTTGTCATATACCAATTGTATTTCAATACAAAATAAGTTCGTAATAAATAAGTAATCTGTAAGTCTTTTCTTGACATTTCCTGAGCTTAATTGCCTAGAACTGGTGTAAAAAATGATCATGAACTATTAAAAAACTAATAGGAGAGGCAAACCTTCTCTTGTCTTTATTTTTTTAATTTCATGTATAAATGATCTAGAAAATGTTAATTGTAAAATTTACTTACATAGAAAATCTTCAAAAGTAGGTCAGGCACCACTCAAGTTCCTGGGAGTTCACAGGCAATTTGGAGACATGGTCCTAGCTTCTAGTGAGCATGATCATCCCACCTTAACCCCCAGTCCTTTTCTGTCTTACTCAGAGATGGATGGATTGGTTTTTTCTGTTGTTGTTTTTTTTAAGTGAGGAATTTAGAGTCAGATGGAGAATCATTAAATTCTGATGTTGTCACTTTGATTAAGCTAGTCACTTAATCTCTCTGAGTCTCATTTTCCTTATCTATAAAATGGCAATAATAGTATCACCTTAATAGGTTGTTGTGAAATTTAAATACACACACACGTGTGCACGCGCACACACATACACACACCCAGAGTTCCTAGCTATTATCTTGCATGTAATAAGTGCATAAAAATATTAGCTCTGTCTTTCCTTCTTTGCTGTCATCAAAGCAACATTCAGAATTACTTTGTCCATTCTCTAATTTCCTTCTAGGTTATCAGGAAACTTGTGTTCTGTTTCTAATACTCCCTCCACTAATTCTCTGCTCCCTTTCCTTGATTCCTTCATCTCTGCCCCCCTTTTGATGTTCCCTCCCCAAACTTGATCCTCTCTCTCCTGCCTTAATCTCTCTTCTTTCAAGCAGTTCTCACCTTCCACCTGCCACAATCTCAGAGCTCTGTGCCCTGTAGAGGAACTGAGATAACTCTGAGAGAGGGTAGGTCATAAAAATTCTTACTTCTTTTGCATTTTCATGATGTGTCAATAAGTCCTTTTTGTTTGTTTGTTTAAATCACGGTCTTCCTGAAAACATGGAAAAATTTATGTTATCTAATGCCAAGGAAAAATTCCTGGACCACAAATACTATTAAATTCAACAGACATTTTTGGAGCATCTGCTATATGCCAAGCAGTGCCCCAGGCACTAGGGAGATAAAAATAAAGACAAAGTCTCTGCCCTAAAATGTTTACGTCCAATCAGACAGGCAGACATATAAATACCTAAATTGAATATAAGTGTGCCTTGTGGGGCTTCAAGCCAATACTGCACATGAAAGAATTTCCTTTACTTTTTCAGTTATGGGGTTGTGTTGGACCAGCCAATCAAAATGCCCATCCTGGCCACAGTCCTCTGCTGAGTGAGGGGCCATGTTCTGTCTCCTGAGCAGAGCTCACTGACTCAGGATGGGCTTAATTGATGAAGCCAAAAAGGGCCATATACACATTCTTATTTTTCCCGTGTCCACCCGAACCCCCGCTGCCGCTAAGGTGAGAGCATGTGCATGTGACCTCAATTTGGCTAATCAAATGTACCTTTTTTAGACCTAGAATTGGGAATTGGTCATTCAAGGGAGCTGAGATGAGAGGAGATCTCTGTGCCAGTGATTGCAACAATGTCCAGTTTCCAGGGCCAGCAGGGGGACAAGCAGTGAAACTGGGTTTCCAGTGCCCAGGTGTCAGTTGCAAGTTATGGCTCCTAGTCCTTATTGATGGTAATAGTGTTCTCACTTGTCTAATTTGGAGATATGGTTGGCTGGGATTCTGCGTACTCCCTGTTTCTGTTCATTTTCTGAGCATCTCTCTGATACAATATTTTTTTATTTAATTCTTTTTTTGCTTAAACCAGCCAAATTGATTCTTAGCTACTAAGAATACTTTGGCTGAGGCTTGGTATAAAGGCTCTACCTCAACAAGAAGAATGCTAATTAACTAATGTCCTGCTAGGACATTCAAATTGGAAATATTAGAGTTGGTCAATTGGAATCCAAAGCAGAAGCTAAAAACACAACCCATGGACTATGAGACAGTAAGGACTGTGTGTAGGCTGAAATTATGAGTAAGCAGAAGTTATGAATAAGCAAAAGTTATGAGTTAGCAGAAATCTACATACATGCAGAGGAGAGGAAGAGGTGGTTGGCTGAGAGCAGCAAGGAAACAGAAACAAGAGAAACTGAGACCCCATGATGGTGAGGGAATAGGTGAACCCCTGCTCTCAAGGGGACTCCAGGCTAACCCAGTCCCTGGATTTGCCTTGAATCCTCAACTATTTTCCAATTTCCAAACTACATTTCCATTTCTGTGAACCTGAGTAACCCTGGCTATTTCTGGGCTCCTTTGAAATTCCAGTTGCTCTTATTGCGATGTATATCTTTATTCTTTATAGTAACTCCCTTATTCCTTGAGGTAACCAGGATAAGACTGTATTTTATATGACCAGAGGGTTCCAAAGATTATGGGCATGATATGGCTAGACCCAGGAAACAACAGCCAAATAGTATATCTCAGAAGTCACTGATCTTCCTCTCTAAAAATGTACTTTCTTTTTTTCCTATCTTACTTGAAATCTCCAGCAGATGAACCTTCCTCTGGGCTGAAAAATTAATGGTTTATCAGAAGCCCCTGTTTAAAATGTACTCTAGTTTCTTGTGGGAGTGAAAAGCCAGAGGTATTTCTCTCTACATTAGCCATTAACATCTGAGCAGATCATATGAGTTCATTCTTAAATTTGAACTCTTAGAGGTCTGATAGTTAGGGTTTCAGCTAGGTATAGAGCAGAAAAATTGGGCACAGGGAGGGAAGAGTGGAGTATAGATAATAGAAAATGGCAGTGAGAGTCCCTGGAACATTCTAAAGGACTGTCCTATGGAATATTCCCATTAGGGAAGGCTGGTGGCAGCCAGTGTAGAGTGCCAGGGGACAGTAGGGCCAAAATGGCAGCCTTGCAACAAGGTGGACACTAACACCAAACATTCTCACTTCACAGTCTGCCTTCTGCCAGTTCCAGAGTATGACCTTGCATAATTTTTGTTATCCTTCAGCTTTTGTAGGAGATGGGGCTGGGCTGAAGTGGCAGAGGAAGATGGCTATCGAGTCCGTGGCCTTTATTTTATCTCCCACAACACACAGTGCCCTCTCATGGCTTGTGAGAAGGGAAATATCTTAATGTCGCACCTAATCAGTGAATGGCACATAGTTTGGAAAGCAAAAAAGTGATTCTGTTAATAGGACATGACCCAGGTAGGAAGGAATTTACACATGCTGCTGTGTTTGAAAAGAGAGAAAATGCATCGAAGCTGTTTTAATGAAAGCAGAAGTCTGAAGTTATCCCTAAAGAGCTTTATTTTCTTGAAGTCTAAAACGTACCTCAGAGTTTGTGTGTTTTTCTGAGAATAGTGGGTAGAACTGTACTTGGAATGGTAGTGAGTCACATCAGGGTGCAGGGAGGAGAGAAATATTAATGCCACGGACACATCTTTTCATAGGGTATGCACCTCAGCCACTGGGTGCTGTACTTGCCCGTCAGCTCTGTTGGTGTGGCCAGATGACTTACTGTGGGTTATAAATCAATGATGAGCAATGTGAAGAGCAGATGGGGAGTTTAATGCATCCTCCACATCTCTGTCTTGTGACTGGCTGAAGTCCATGTGCAATTTTGAAAAGGATGTTTGAAAAGGATATTCATCATTTTAAATTGCTCTGTGGGAGCTTTGCAGTTCATAATGTGCCACTTAGGTACTTCTCAAAGATAGGTTTTCCTT